AATTGAACAAGCATGTCCCCAAAGAAGATACTCAAATGGCCGACCATTAAGCAAATAGAAAGGTCCTCAACATCACTACTCATCAGAGAAATGCAAAGTAGAAAACAGAGATACCAGTAGATGATCACTATAATGGAATAAAATTTAGCAGATGAGCAATATCAAGTGTTGGCAAGGATATGAAGTAACTGGAACCCTACCATACCTTGATGGTGTGAAGGTAAAATGGTATCACTTTGTGAACTGTTGGGTGAAACCAATGTTGACCCCATAAACTTTCAGTCTCCTTCCTGGGTATATGCCCAAGAGAAAATAGTGCTTATGTCCACCATAGCACACATAGAATTATATTCATAGCAACTGTGTTCATAATGGCTCAAATTGGAAAGCTGCTGTAGTCAAACACTGTGCTGCCCTTATCTTTATTCACGCAGTAGTACTTAGCATGTAGCTACCTGTGTTTAGTTTAATATGTGTGTTAATGAAAATTTATTTAGGGGATTTCACCCCCCAATTTTTTAACTTTAAAACTATGGTTTCGCATTTCTTAAAACTTTTCTCTTTTTTTTTTTTTTTTTTTTTTTTTTGAGACAGGGTCTCTCTCTGTGGCCCAGGCTGGAGCACAGTGGCGGGATCTCAGTTCACTGTAAGCTCCGCCTCCCGGGTTTACGCCATTCCCCTGCCTCAGCCTCCCGAGTAGCTGGGACTACAGGCGCCCGCCACCTCGCCCGGCTAGTTTTTTGTATTTTTTTAGTAGAGACGGGGTTTCACCGTGTTTGCCAGGATGGTCTCGATCTCCTGACCTCGTGATCCGCCCATCTCGGCCTCCCAAAGTGCTGGGATTACAGGCTTGAGCCACCGCGCCCGGCCAAAACTTTTCTCTTTACATCAGTTTGGTTTCAGAAGACTAAAAGAAAGAGCTTGTTGCACAGATGGCCCAAAGCACAAATTATTAAAATGCTAACTTTTATCTACATCCAGCTCCAAATATTCAAATATTCCCTTACTCCTTGATCATTCTTTTTTTTTTTTTTGAGACCGAGTCTCTGTCGCCTAGGCTGGAGTAATAGATATATATGGTCCCCTATTCTAAGGTGATACAGTCATGCATCTGAGAAATGTGTCATGAGATGACTTTGTCATTGTGAGAACACCATGGAGTGTACTTACAGAAACCTAGATGGTATAACTACTACTATACATAGCCTATATGATATTGCCTATTACTTCTAGGCCACAAACCTGTACAGCAGGTTACTGTACTGAATACTGTAGGCAGTTACAACACAATGCTAAGTATTTGAGTATCTAAACATATCTAAACATAGAGAAGGTACAATAAAAATACAGTATAAAAGGTAAAAACTGGTACACCTGTGTAGGACACTTAACCATGAATGGGGCTTACAGGACTGGAAATTGCTCTAGGTGAGTTGGAGGTGAGTGATGAGTGCATGTGAGGGCCTAGGACATTATTGTACACTACTGGAGACTTTATAAGCTTTATAAACGTTGAACACTTAGGCTAAACTAAATTTAAAAAAAAATTTTCTTGGCTGGGCATGGTGGCTCATGCCTGTAATCCCAGCACTTTGGGAGGCTGAGGTAGGCAGATCACTTGAGCCCAGGAGTTCAAGACCAGCCTAGGGAGCATGGCAAAACCCCATCTCTACAAAAAATACAAAAATTAGCCAGGCATGGTGGCGCACACCTGTAGTCCCAGCTACTCGGGAGGCTGAGGTGAGCTAGGAGGTTTAGGGTGCCGTGAGCCATGGTTGCACCATTGCACTCCTGCCTGGGCAACAGAGCAAGATCCTATCTCAAAAACAAAAAAAAATTTATTTCTTCAATAGTAAAGTAAACAGCATACTGTAATTGTTTATAAACGTTTCAATTTTTAAAAACTTTTGGACTTTTTTATAATAACACCTAGCTTAAAACACAAATACATTGTATAGCTATAGAAAATAATTTTTATTGATATCTTTATAGGCTTTTTCTATTTAAAAAGTTTAATTTTTTTTTAACTTTTAGAATATTTTGGTAAAAATGAACACACACACACACACACACACACACACACACACACACACAGAGCCTAGGTCTACACAGGGTCAGGATCATGAATATCGCTGGCTTGCCCCTCTACATCTTGATCCACTGGAACACCTTCAGGAGCAGTAACAGGCATGGAGCTGTCATCTCCTAGGATAACAATACCTTCTTCTGGAAGTCCTCCTGAAGGACCTGCCTGAGGCTCTTCTTGAGGAGATGTCACTCTTTTCAGAAATTGGCCCATGTGTTTTGCTTGGTTTATTTCTATTTTTTATTGTAGATTTGTTTGTAAGCAGTTAATGCAGCATGAACGTTCCTGTGTATTAATGAAAAGCTTTCTGGTTTGGGGGTCCATGTTTTCACACTTCTTAAGGAGTTTGTTGAGGTCTGCAAAAGCTCCCAAACCCTTCACTGTGAATTTTCTTGGCGGTTCTTTTTCTTTCTGCAGCAAACTTCTTTCTCTCTTGCTGCTTCTTCAGCTGTGCATTCCCATTCCAGTTCCGACTCAGTCAAATACTGTGACGTTATTGGGGCTATAACGTTACTAGATGAAAGGAGTTTTTCAGCTCCATTTAACTACAGTCCATTGTTGACCAAAACATCATTTTGTGGCACGCAACTGTATTTAGTTAAGGTTAGGTAGCTGCTATCATTTTTTCAGTGAAATTTAAGTAGTTAAAATGAGTCAAGTGGTAGCTAAAAGCATGATGAAACTTACAATGGCACTTTCTTTACTTGTAAATGATACAATATGGTATGGCTAGATTAAGTATTTTAAAAATTCCCATAGATTTCAACTTGGTTCTTAAACTTGGTTCCATAAAGCTGGAAGTGGAACCATTGGACATATATCAGGAATTCAACTGAACGCCTCCTTTTAAATTTATGGTTTACGGACTTGTGGCTCTTCGATCCCAGGGAATCTAAAGTAGACTGTGTTCTAAAGTAGGCACATAACGAGACAACAGCCAATTTGAAAATATTAAATGAAGTTGCTAATTCTCCATGATATTATATATATAAACTTTGTACCTAATGTAAACTGAAGATAATTGTTAGCATTTCCAGATTAGAAAACATAACTGGACTTCCCTTATTGTTTTTTTTTTTTTTTTTTTTGAAACGGAGTCTAGTTCTGTCGCCCAGGCTGAAGTGCAGTGGCACAATCTCGGCTCACTGCAACCTCCATCTCCCAGATTCAAGCAATTCTCCTGCCGCAGCCTCCCAAGTAGCTGGGATTACAGGCGTGTGCCATCATACCCAGCTAATTTTTGTATTTTTAGTAAAGACAGGGTTTCATCATGTTGGCCAGGCTGGTTTTGAACTCCTGACCTCAGGTGATCCACCTGCCTCGGCCTCCCAAAGTGCTGGGATTACAAGCGTGAGCCACCGCACGAGGCCCCTTATCCATTCTTTTATGCTCTGTTACTATAGCAAATTATTCTCAGACACAGCTCCATCCTGGTAGTAGTGTTCTTGTTATTATCAGTAACAAAGTACCTTAAGCTACTGCTTTTGTTTTGTTTTGTTTTGAGACGGTATGTTGCTCTGTTGCCCAGGCTGGAGGTCAGTGGCACAAGCTCAGCTCACTGCAACCTCTGCCTCCCGCGTTCAAGCGATTCTCCTGCCTCAGCTTCCCGAGTAACTGGGATTACAGGCCCTTGTCACTACACCTGGCTAATTTTTGTATTTTTAGTAGAGACGGAGTTTCACCATGTTGTCCAGGCTGGTCTTGAACTCCTGACCTCAAGTGATCTGCCCGCCTAAACCTCCCAAAGTGCTAGGATTACAGGCGTGAGCCACTGTGTCTGGCCTAAGCTACTGCCTTTTAAGAATAAAAGTATATATACACGGTTCCCCTGATGAGGAACTATAGTGAGGCTGCTATTTTGTTTTTTAATTTTTTTGGAGATGGAGTTTTCGCTCTTGTCACCCAGGCTGAAGTGCAGTGGTACAATCTCGGTTCACTGCATTCTCTCTCTCCTGGATTCAAGTGAGTCTCCTGCCTCAGCCTCCTGAGTAGCTGGGATTACAGGTGTGCGCCACCACACGCAGCTAATTTTTGTATTTTTAGTAGAGACGGGGTTTCACCCATGTTGGCCAGGCTGGTCTTCAACTCCTGACCTCAGGTGATTTACTCGTCTCAGCCTCCCAAAGTGCTGGGATTACAGGCGTGAGCCATGGTGCCTGGCACAGACTTCTAAGACATAGGTGCTATCAGGTCAGTTATATGGGAGAAATAAATACCATTTTAGTATTGTGATTACTTTTATTTTCTTTAACCATAGTTTCATTTTTAACACCATAGATAGAAAAACAAAGATACTCATATCACCTAGTGTCTTGTTTATAACTTGTTCCCTGAATCAGCTTCAAGTCTTTCATGTTTATGTATAAAACATTATAGGGCTGGGCACGGTGGCTCACGCCTGTAATCCCAACTCTTTGGGAGGCCGAGGCAGGTGGATCACCTGAGGTCAGGAGTTCGAGAGCAGCCTGGCCAACATGGTGAAACCTTGTCTCTACTAAAAATACAAAAATTAGCCAGGTGTGGTGGCATGCACCTGTACTCCCAGCTACTTAGGAGGCTGAGGCAGAAGAATCGCTTGAATCTAGGAGGCAGAGGTTACAGTGAGCCGAGATCATGTCACTGCACTCCAGCCTGGGTTGACAAGAGCAAGCCTCCATCTAAAAAAAAACAAACAACAAAAGCCATTATAATTTATGCACACACAAATCTTTAAAATGACTTTGTGACCTTTTTATACTTAGAATTGATGATTTATGATATATAGTATCTTAGAATTTTTTTCCCACGTACTAGTATTGTAGATGTGAAGTCATGGTGATTTATTAGGTTTAATTTGTCAGGTAACAGGATTGTGTTCTGTTTGTTCTTTATATGTTTAAATATTTTAAATGACTATTTTTTTTTTTGTAGCTGTCCCCTTTCCTCCAACCCAACGGCTTACTTTCAAGGAAGTATTTGAGAATGGGAAACCTAAAGTTGATGTTTTAAAAAACCATTTGGTAAAAGAAGGACGACTGGAAGAGGCAGTAGCCTTAAAGATAATCAATGATGGGGCTGCCATCCTGAGGCAAGAGAAGACTATGATAGAAGTAGATGCTCCAATCACAGGTATAAAAAGTATTTGCATTATACTTTTTACAGTATAGATTTGCATGAGCAGTTTTGAGAAATAATTACAAATAACCGGCTAAAAAGTGGTGTGATAATTTTTCTAGAAATTATGAGACGGTCAGGATTGGTTAGGATATTTGTTGTTAATTGAAGAAATACAATTTTAACTGTCTCATATTTCCAGTAGAACTTTAGTATGAATAGATTGACTACAGTTATACAGCCGTCCTGTCAAAAGCTAGAGTGATTTAAGTTAGAAGTTAAACTGTGATCCTTTTTGGTGTAATGCCCTTTGTCTTCTAAGATATAATTTCTCACCTCACTTTGTAACTTTTTTTCCTAGTGTGTGGTGATATTCATGGACAATTCTTTGACCTAATGAAATTATTTGAAGTTGGAGGATCACCTAGTAACACACGCTACCTCTTTCTGGGTGACTATGTGGACAGAGGCTATTTCAGTATAGAGGTAAAATTAAACTAGATATGTTGGGACTATTATATTGTCTTTTTAAAAAGATGATTTCCATTCTTCAATAGAAATTAAAATGAGAACTCTGGCAGAATTTATAAACTTTGTTGCTTTCAAAATTAAAGTAGTAGAAATGTTTTCTTTGATAGAACAGTTATTCCTTTTTCAAAACCAGTAGAAAATCTGACAAATAGGCTATATATTAATATTAACCCAATTTTGCAAATAGTTAAATGTTCACTAACTTTTCCTCTTGAAGACAGTATACAGGATTGTATAAAAATGACATAAATTACTGTTCACTCTAAATGGGGTTTAGATTAGCTGACCTTAATTATAAGACTATAAGCTGCTGAGCTACAATTAACATGTAGATTAACTACCAGTGCTAAATAAGCACTAAGCTTTTTGTAGGAATAATGTCTGGTACTGGTGCACATAGTAAGCACTTAACAAATGTTCACTGAAGGGGAAAAATGAGTTGTAGTTAATGAAAACTTATACTTTCCTTTTATATATTTTGAAAAAGGAAAGACAGGAATGTGGTTAGAATTAAATAGAAGCTTTTATGTGTAAAAGATAAAACTACTTTAGAACTTTATGCAAGGACTTGAGTACAGTGGAACCACAGCACATTCATACTTACTGTTTGTTGATTCAACTCTACATGCTGGCAAGTAAAAGAGAAAAAAGCTTTTGAAATAGCCTGGGTAATAGAATTTGTAATGTGACCAAGAATAAGCTGTGAGCTGAGAAATTGAGTCTGCTTTCTGTCTTTGCTCTCTGTAGTCCTGCCTGCCCTCATTGTGTGAGAATCTCACTATACTAAGTGTGCTTCTGGTGGTTATGTCATGCAGCCTCACTCCTAAATGCAAGTCAGCTCTCTTACCTGATGCCCAAGCAAAGGAGCGGCAGTTGCTCTATATAGCTGGAGAAAAAATAAGCAACAAAATGGATTTTTAGTTTTTAGTTAGATAGGCAGTCTAAATTCATGAGTCAGAAAAGTTCAATGTTGGCCAGGCACAGTGGCTTACACCTGTAATCCCAGCACT